AATATGCTGATGATACTCTGGTTTTGTTGATGGCATCCCTTTTAGGTTTTTTGTTTCAAAGCCATCCTTAATTCTTTTGCTCAATCCACTGGTTTTAAAGTTAATTTCAACAAGTCTAGCATGTACCCTCTCAATCTCACTGCTGAGAAATCTGACTTGATGGCTGGTTTGCTGGGTTGTTCTATTGGAACTCTCCTTTTCACCTACCTGGGGCTGCCCATGGGGAAAGAAGGCTCACAGCAAGTTCAATGTTCCTCCCCTAAGGTGGTAGGCTGACCTTAATCAATTCAGTTCTTTCAGCAATCCCTACCTACTATATGTGTTCCCTACAGTTTCCTATTACAGTTGTCAATGCCATTGATACAGCAAGGAAAAATTGTCTTTGGAGAGGAAACAACCCAATTTCTACAAGGAAATCTTTGGCATCCTGGGATCTGGTCTGTAGGCCAAAGGATAAGGGAGGTTTCGGTATAGTGAATCTCAAAGTGCAGAACATAGCATTGTTGCTAAAACACCTGGTGAAACTTTACAAAGGTGTAAATCTGCCATGGGTCAATTTGGTATGGAATTATTACTTCTCTGTAAAGGTACCTCATTTGGTTTTTAATAAGGGTTCCTTTTGGTTAAGAGACATCTAGGCCCTCTCAGCCTTGTTCAGAGGTATTGCAAAATGTTCCATCCAGTCTGAGAAATCTTATCTTTTTTGGGATGACTTGTGGAATAAGGAACTGCATAGCTCCAAATTTCCTGCTCTGCATGCTCTAGCTTTATATAAGGAGGAATCAATTAGCTGAATGTGATCTAGGACTTTGGAGGATTGTTTCATGATGCCTCTTTCTACCCAGGTTTATGGGGATTTTTTGCAACTTTAGGACTTCTTGAATCCTCTGAATTTGAATGATGCACAGGGTGACAATTGGTGTTTTATTTGGAATTCAGAGATATATACCTCCAAGCGGTTCTATAAGCTTAACTTCATGTCTTTGAGCCCTTCTAGGCCTTTTGTTTGGTTATGGAAGACCAAGTGTGTTATGAAAGTCAATGATTTTGCATGGCTTTTATTTTGTGACAGGCTGAACATACGAGATATGCTTGATAGAAGGCATTCTGCAAAGGAGGATGATGATCTCACCTGCCCCTTATGTCCTGAAGGACGGAGGGAAACTCGGCTACATCTCATTTTTACATTCCCTTTCAGTATGTGATGTTGGCAATCTTTGGGAATTGTTTGGAATCATAATTTGGAGTTCTTTCACCTCGTAATTCTTGCAAAATGGAGGTTCAGTAGAAATGACAGAAAGAGCTTCTTGGAAATTTTCTTTTTAGCATCATGGCACATATGGAAGCAGAAAAATGGGCTCATTTTTTATAATATTATTCCATCATTTCAATCTTGGAAGGCCTTGTTCGCCAAAGAAATTCTTCTACATCTATGTAGAATGAAGGATCCTTTAAAGCAATTAATCTGTTTTTTATTGGTTACAAACTTTGTAGCTTGGCAAAATTTGCTGCAGCACACGCAAAAATCATGTAATTGGCTAAGAGACACCGTAAAAACATGACACTGCCAATGAACACTACAAAAGTTATGTAGTTAGCTATAGGACACCGGAGGCATTATTTTATAATTTCCGGGCTAAAAAAAGGGAGAGAAATTTCGAAATGACGGGAATGCCCCCCTCTACTCCTTCTTCCTTTCTTCTCACTGCAGCCAACATGTGGGCTTGCAGAGAGTGTTGTCGTCCTCCTGTCGCCAACGCTCAACGCCAGCTGCCGTCCCCGACCTCGACGCCACCGTTGCCTCCACTTGCTGCCACACCCACGCTCAGACCACCTCCCTCCACCTCATCTCCTCCCTCCTCGCCCCGCCCACAGCTCCCCTCCTCCGCGAGCTGCCATCGCCTCCACTTGCTGCCGCGCCCACGCCCAGACCACCTCCCTCCACCTCATCTCCTCCCTCCTCGCCCCGCCCACATCTCCCCTCCTCCGTGACGCCCTCGCTCGCGCCCGCACTTACCCCGCCGAATTCCGCAACGGGGACATCAATCTCACCATCCTCCGCCCATGCCGCTCCTCGGCCGCCTCCCCACGCGCACCCGCCCACCGCCTCTCTTCCTCTGGTGCTTGCTCGTCATCCAGAACATGAGCCGCTACATGCGCGGTGTGTCCACCACGTCGATGTAGTTGACGACGGTTAGGCAAACCTGCAAGATGGGGAGGCTGCGTCTAGCGACGAGCAGGAAGGCGAGGTCCCTGTTCTCCATGACGACGCAGCCGAGGCGGGGGAAGACGGCGTAGTGGAAGGGGCCCGGGTGCACGGCGAAGACGCGGGACACGGCGCCATTGACGTCGCCACCACCGCGTCCCTCCGGTGCGAGGTGCACGTTGACGAGCGCTAGGGGAAGCGGTGAGCACGTAGAACAGGAAGATGGATAGGCAGATCGACAACGGCAAAGCCATCGACACTCGGGGGGCAATCCGGGCGTTTCAAAAAAAATCTCACCGCTTTCATCCCGAAAATGATAAAATAATGAGTTCGGTGTCCTACGGCCAATTACATAACTTTTGTAGCGTCCATAGGTAGTGTCACGTTTTTACGGTATCCCTCAGCTAATTACACTTTTTACGTGTCCTGTAGCAAATTTTGCCATAGCTTTAAGATCTTGCTATATGTAAATCTCTCTTTAATGAAAATACACTGTTAGACAAAGCCGGTTTTTTCAGGTCAACAAGATAGAGCCGATGTACACAAATGAAAAAGCCATTAACATACAATTAATCAATTTTAACGGGAAATGAGATAAAATTTACAACTTGATTTACCAAATCAAGCGCTCAAGTGTGAGATGCGTGAACAAGCGCTCAAGTGTGTACGCCTCGTGTTTGTGTCAAGTGGCCTCAATTGGAAGGGAAGTAAATATGTGCATTTCTGTGAAAGTTATTACTAGTACTGAGCATGCTAAAGCTTTTACATGCGCCGAACCATATGGTTCATGGAGAAAACGTACAACCAAACAATCGCAAATTTTCTTCGCCGTGTGGGCCAAGCTCCGTGCGAACAACCAAAGATGCTCTTTTTGAATCTTGATTAGTTAGTTGGTTGTTTGTACAGTACAACCCAGGATAGATTTAGCTGTGTTCGAACCCCTTCTCCCGGCACGCAAAACAAAACTCGTATTGTTGCATGATTAATTAAGTATTATTTTTAAAAAAAAAATGAATCAATATGATTTTTTAAGATAACTTTCATATAGAAAGTTTTTCATAAAGCACACCATTTAGCAATGTGAAAAGTGGATGCGCGAAAAACGAAAGAGGTGGGTTGGGAAAATGGGAGGAAGAACACAGCCTATAGTTGAAGGCAGTAAAGTTCTTTTCTGCTTTAAGGCCCGTTGATTTATACAAAATATATAAAATTTGGAGGATTTTTAGTCTTGTAGAAATATTCCGTACGAAGGCATTTGAGACAAGAGATTAAATCCCATCTTATCCTTTGAAATTCCATAAGTAAGGAATGGACAACCTATAAAAATTGTGAAGAAAATTTAGTAATAGATGTAACCTCATCAAAATTTTATTTTGAGTTTATCTCTCTTATCGAATTTATGTGTTTTTCTGCGTTGAATCAAATGGTTATTTAAGCGTTTTTAATGTGTTTTACATTCTTTATTAGAATACTACGTTGTTTCTATCAAAGAGGGCCTAATAGAGACGCTAACAAAGCATATTTTGAATTTGTCGTTGTTTGTAACTCCGGAATGTGTGTGTCAACATAAATATACCAGAGTACGATGAAGCACAAAACGTTTCTGTTTACACCTAAAATTGGCATGAATGTTCAAATTAAGGAAAATTGCTAAGATTTGGGAAAAATCGCTGGTTTCCTCCATAGGGCCAGTCTGACCGGCGTGTATTGGCCAGTCAGACCGTTGATTGAGGGTCGGTCTGACCGGTGGCATGTGGTCGATCAGACCGGTAGAGTCCGAGACCGAGTCTGTTTTTGTCAGGTCTCGGAATTCCTTGCTCGAGAGACTATGCTTTTGGTTTCCTTTGGTTTCTATACCGAGTTGAACGTGGAGGAGAATCTGTAGGAGACAAGACCAACCCCTATATAAGGGACAAAGCCGGTTCAATTGGAGGAGAATCCACATACAACCCAATTTAGCCAATTGAATCGCTTTTTGAATATTTCAAATCTAGTTTTAGTCTAGTTCGTCCATCTTTATCGATCTGCGTCATAAATCGTCCACCTTAGCTGCAAGAGGGCGAAATCCTTTTGTAGGTTTGTCTCGTAAACCTTCCGCTTATCCACGAAACGGGTAGTTATCTATTGTTTTAACTAAATTGGCTCTGCTAGCCGGTTTAATCTATTAAAACCCATCTTAATCACCATAAAATGTTTAGGTGTTTCAACCGTGATTGTCTTCATGTAAAAAAAAAAGTTGCCAACAACTTCTTGTTCAATCGACTTGTTTATTACTGATTTTAAGGGGTCCTAATAGTAGAGAATGACGAAGCAAATTTTGCATTTGCCGTTGTTTCTAACTCCGGAACGTATGCGTGATGAAGCGCAACGCGTTTCTTGTCTAATCGACTAGTTTATTTCTACTACACAGCCGTAGCCCTAGAAACAACGGGACGTACCATACATATGCTTCCTTAGCGAACCCGCAAATCGGCCATAAACACGGTGTGCCGTAGCTCTGTTGCCACTACCGCTCGCCCACACATTGTCATTATGTCAACCCATCATTACGAAGCGCAGAGGTACACTGATCCACCCAGAGACATACTCATATCCCTACGTACATCGGTACAGGTATACGCGACCGGCCGCGGCAGGGCCACACCGACGCCCTTTCCGGCTTTCATCCCGACCCGACCTAGCTAATCTATCAGCCGCCCACGCCCAGGCTTTTATCAAAACAGTCCATGGTGCACCTACCGACCGACGTTGTAAAGAAACAGCAGAGATCCACAGTGCTGTCAAAAAACCCAACCCCACGTTCCCACCATCTATTCATTCTTAAATCTCGAACTCTCTGCTGCTGCCGCCAGGCGCCCCAGATCCACTCGCTCGTCTCGTCTCTCCGCTCTCTTCCGGACTTCCACTAGTCGCACACTAGCACTCGCCACTCGCCAGTCGCTACGACTAGTAGCTCCACCTCTGTAGCCTAAAGCCCACCCCCCAACACCACCCTCTGTGAAGTAGCTTGTCCTCTTCGCCGAGGCCGAGGTGACGCACATGGCGCTGCCTCCTCCTCTGCTCCGCTTCTTCATCGTCGCCGTGCTGCTCAGCTCGGTCGCCGCATGGGTGGCGGCGGCGACGACGCTGCACGAGCGCGACGCGGCGGCGCTCAGGGACGTCCGGGCGGGGCTGCGGGACCTGCCGGGGTCCCGGTTCTTCGAATCCTGGGATGACGCCACCGACCCGTGCGACTATGCCGGCGTCGTGTGCGAGCCCGACGAGGACGACCCGGCCGCGCTCCGCGTGTCCGTGCTGACGCTCGGCACCGGCCTCACCGACTCTCCCGGCCTGGCTGGCACGCTCCCGGCCTCGCTTGCCAGCCTCACTGCGCTCACGGACTTCGTCCTTTATCCAGGACGCGTCGCGGGAGCTATTCCGACGGACATTGGGTCGGGTCTCCGGCGCCTCAGGCTGCTGTCCATGTCCGGCAACCAGCTGACCGGGCAGATACCCGAGTCCCTCGCCGGGCTGCCAGATCTGCACACGCTCGACCTCGGCAATAACCACCTCGACGGCTCCATTCCCAGCGGCTTGCTGCTGCCGTCTTCGCAGAGCCTCAAGGTGCTCATCCTAGCGAACAATGGCGGCCTCTCCGGGCAGATTCCAGACCAATTTTCCAGCTCACAGCTTTTCCATGTCGACCTAAGCCGGAATTCCATCACTGGCTCGCTCCCACCGCTGGCGCAGACAGTCCGCTACTTCTCCGTCGCGGCGAACTCAATGCAGGGGAGCCTCGACGGCGCGTTCGGCAACGGTTCGGCTCCGACCGACTTGGCCTTCCTCGACCTCTCGATGAACAACTTCTCGGGTTCAATCCCGCGGGAGTTGTTCGCGCTCCCGAGCGCGTCGTCCCTTCTTCTGTCCCGCAATAACTTCACCGGGTCCCTCGCCGTGCCAGCGTTCGCATCGGAGCGTGCCGCAACGCCGCCGTGGTCGGTTGTGGACGTCAGCCACAATGGCATCACGGGGGAGGTCCCGGAGGAGCTAGCGGCCGTGGAGAGCCTGTACGTGAACAACAACCGGATGTACGGCGAGGTGCCGGAGGCGGTGGCCCGTAGCGTGTTCGCCGGCCGCATGACGACCTTCTACGCGCAGCACAACTTCCTGACGGGCTTCCCGGTGCCGCCGCTGCCGCTGCCGGACTCCGCAGCGCTGTGCCTCTCTTACAATTGCATGGAGCTACCGTCCGCTTCTGCCGCCAACGGGTGCCCCACCATCGGCGGCCCAATGGAGTCCAGGCCCGCCGACCAGTGCCGGAGCAGCACCGCAGCCAACGCCGGCAGCAGCGGAGGGGACGGCTGAGCCGCCAACATTCCTCAAGGCTGACAGGTGGGGCCCACCTGGTTCAGCTCATCAGCTGGGCACGGGTGGGGGCGTGAGGAAGGGACGGCCAGGATAGCTAAGCCTGGCTCACACATTTTCGTTTTGTCCGTTTGTTTCGGGTGTGGTTTTCATGTGATTGGGTTTGAATTCATCGGCATCCGGGCTTGTCGTCGGGCGCGCAACGGTTACACGGCTACAAGGTTAGCGCGTTCTTGTGCGTGTGTGCAATTACTCGCTCTGGTAGTTTGTACGCTGCGTCTGTGTTACTCTGTTCATTGTGAGTAGCTGGCAGTGTCCATTTAAACAACTCTGTTCATACTCTACTAAGTCAGCTAATGTAAAGGGAGGCACTATTTTAGGGGGTGTTTATTTTTTAAAGTACATGTCACATTGGATGTTTGGACGCTAATTTGAAGTATTAAATATAGACTAATAAAAAAACTAATTTCATAAATGCGAGCTAATCTGCGAGACGAATTTTTTAAGCCTAATTAATCTATAATTATGAAAAGTTTACTGTAGCATCACATTGTCAAATCATGGCGTAATTAGACTCAAAAGATTCGTCTCGCGAATTAGTCCAAGGTTATGGAATGGGTTTTGTAATTAGTGTATGTTTAATACTCTAAATTAGTGTCCAAACATCCGATGTGATAGGGACTTGGGGAATAAATCCATGTTTCCCAAACAGGCCCTTAGAAAAAAATATCAAATCATCTCACTTGTTGATCCATGTTTGGAGTCTCGACAGAGTTCGCGGTATCGGCGGTTAAGAGTTCACGGTATCGACGGTTACCGTACTCTAGTAACTAGGTGGTAATGTTGGTATTTCTTACGATAACACATAAATATGCAAGTGCACGGATACCGTTGTACCATTTCAGTTATGCGTATTTTCAAGGGCATCGTATTTATATTTTTTAGGAAGACGGTGCTACGAAGACATACTTATATCTTTTCAATCCATTTATAACTAATTCACCATAGTCTAGACATGAGTTATAATAAGAGGCAATTACGTTTTTGGCCCTGCTTTTTCGAGTTGCTCATTTGACCTTCTTTTTTTACAAACGAGGATGAGACTTGGCCCTATTCCGTGAAGGCAACATGACGGTGTTAACTCACGACAAAAGTTCCATTTATACCCTTGTGAATTTAACGCGGTTTCTCAAAGTTTTTTATTCAATACAGTTTTGTGCACTTATTAGTATATATCAAATTGCGTCAAACACAAATACATGGTACAAATTTATGTCTACCAAAAACAAACAAAAATACCATGTCAAGCAACAGGACACCGCGCCACAGACGGCTAACTCCTGAGCCCATCCATGCGGAGCAGCCGCCGCCACTACTCCTCCCTCCGCCCACCGGCTCCGCTGCTCCGACCCGGCCACCGACTGTGCAGCTCCGACCCTCTGCGAGCCACCATCGCCTCACCGTCAGTGCTCCCTCCCTCCTTGCAGAACCGTCGTCTCCCCACTAAAGTCCGCCACCGCCGACCTGCCAGAGCCAGATGCACCACATGCGCATCTCGACGCCGCCGAATGCGCCATGCGCGTGCCTCGGCGCCACCGAATTCGTCGCCTCGTTGCCGAGCCTCCGCCAGATCCACCTAGTCGCCCGTTGAGCCGCCGCTGCCACTTCTCCGCCTCGTCGAGCCGCCGCTCCTCCTCTTCGTCAAGCCACCGCCATCCCTCCCATGCCGCTGCTGCCGCCGCTCCTCCGCCTTGTCGAGCCGCCACCCACCCTACTCCTCGTCGAGCTGCCGCCACTCCTCCTCTTAATCTAGCCACCCCCATCCCTCCCATGACACGGCTGCGCGGTTGCTGTTGCACGAGGAGGGTGGCGGGAGGAAGTTCCTCTTAGGGTCTGGTGAGAAAGAGGAAAGGGAGAGGATAAGGATTTCAAGCTTCGGTGAGAGAGAGAGAGGAGAGGAAGAGGATAAGGAACCAATGTTGATGTGTACAAGGGTATTTTGGTCAATTGTGGCTCATAAAAACATTTTTTTCTAAACCCTAATGGTGTGATGAAACCAGGGTTAGACGACAACTCCAATTTTTTAAAAATAGGGCCAAATGAGCAAACTTTAAAAAGTAGGGTGAAATTAGTGGTTATGCTTCAGAACATGGTCAAAGAAGCAATTGTTCCTTATAATAAAGTTTGATGAGGTAGCGAACACACATAGAAGATTCACATATAATAGAATGTCTAGTTGGAAATAGCCTAAGGCGAGGTTGGGAATGAAGTTGCATTTATCCCCTTAGTGGGTTTTGGTGATCAATAACAATAGGGTTAAGGGACTAATGAGTTTTATTGAGCAATACTTAGGTGTTTTAGTCCCAAGATGACATTGTGTGATCAAGAGATGCTTGGAGACCCCCCACAACATAGATTCGAGCGGAATCGGAACTCGAAGTGTGCATAGGCTAGTTTATTTCTTGTAATTGGGTTTTAGGAAAAACTGTACTATTAAGAGGGGTTCTAGATGTGGTTCTGGGATACAACAAGTGCTCTTAGTGAGATCCAAGTGTCAAAATATTTTTAAGAGCTATTTTTGAGAATAGCCCTACCTAGGACATATCAGGTTGGCTGGAAGTTCCGGACCGTTGAAGGGTGAAAATTTCCTAAATGTTGTCTGGAACTTCCTGGAAATTCCAGACCTGTTTTCTAGTTCAAAAATGTGAGTAACGGCTAGATAACGTCACCTAGCCATTATATATATCCAAATCATCCACAACTCACTCTTTGGCCATTTCACTTTTGCTTTTCCACTCCATAGCTGTTGCTAGCCTCTCCCAAGAGTTTCTTTGCTTCCTCCACCCAATCTTGAGCCATTCTTGAGAGAGAGTGAGATTTTGAGGGTGAAGGAGAAGATTTGGAGAAGATTTGAAGGCTAGGATTGGTGTGAGCACTTGGGGTATCTTGTGGGCTGACATCTCGGTGCTTACTGCTCTTGGAGATCATCTCTTAGACGGTTAGGTGCCGCCCGCGAGCTTCCTTTGCAATTGTGGATGTCCCGGGAAAGTTTGTGAAGGTATTCCTCACTTTCGCAAGGAAATGAAGTAAGTGAGTAAAGAAGCTTGTGCTGAAGTCCTAGAGGTTTTCCTAGTAGAGCAACTCACACTTGTGATGTTTTCTAGAAGGATGTTGAGTTGGATCTTGGTGGTCACTCAAATTATAGAAAATGACCTAGAGGTGTTGGGGTTGAAGGCTGTGGATTTCGTTCAAGATTTTTGTACAAGTGAGGCAAGGGGTTAATCGAGACCCGGCTCTTTGGAGCACCTCAACGGAGAGTAGGATCGCGAGATCCGAACTTCGGGAAAAAAATCCACCTTGTCCCTTCAGTGATGTTTCTGTGCATGTGTCTATGATATTGCTACCTCTCTGTTTGCCTATGATTCAACTCGTGAAATTTGGCTGAGTTCCTGTTAGTGTTATCTGAATTTCTCTGTTGCCCGGAAGTTCTAGTCCAAGAACACTAGAACTTCCGGTGTTCTAACTAGGAGGTTCCGGGCCTGTTAAATTTTACCGCAGCGATTTGTTTTTGAGATTTCAGGCAAGCCTATTCACCCCCTTCCCGCCCCCCTTCTAGGCTACATCTGTGCGCATTCAATTGGTATCAGAGCTTCATGCTCCTGATTCAAGCTTCACCGCTTGGAGTGATCCAAGATGTCGCACTTAGAGGGAGATAAAGAGTTGGATGAAAATGGTGATGGATCAACTAGCAAGGGAACGTCTACACCTAAGGGAGCCTCTATTTCTTTTGATTACAACAAACTTACCATTCCCTCTCATAACTTTGTCTCCGTGCCTTCCCTGCGTTCTCCTCAATTTGATGGGACATATTACGCCGCTTGGAAGCACAAGATGAAGTTGCGTACATCTAATCTCTTTGCACCCTAGCATTTGGAAAGTTGTGTGCACATGTGTTGATGTTCCAAATGAAGACATGGAGTTTACCACGGAGCAAGAGAAAGCAATACACCTCAATGCACAAGCCGCCAATGCCATTCTCTCTGCCTTGAGTCCGGAAGAGTTCAACAAAGTTGATGGACTTGAGGAAGCCATGGAAATTTGGGATACTTTGCAATTGGCTCATGAGGGTTCACCCGCCGTGCGTGAGTCCAAGATTGAGTTGTTGGAGGGAAGAGTTGGACGGTTCGTCATGGATGACAAGGAGACCCCTCAAGAAATGTATGATAGGATGATGCTCCTTGTCAACAAGATTAGAGGACTTGGGAGTGAAGATATGACAAATCATTTTGTTAAGAGACTCCTTCGTGTCTTTGTTCCAAGAAATCCCATACTTGTGTCAATGATCCGTGAGAGAAAGGACTACAAGAGGCTTTCTCCAAGTGATATACTTGGACGGATCGTGTCAAATGAGATGCTTGAAGAAGAAGCTCGTGAATTGAAGCAAATGGTCAAGAATGCCGCCATGATCAAGAACCAAGAGATAGGTTTGAAGGCCAATCAAGAAGAAGATTCAAGTGGTGGTGAAGAAAGTGAAGATGAGGAGATGGCCCTAATCGTCAATAGATTCAAGCACTTCCTTCGCAAGAGTGGATATGGGAAAGGAAGAAAGGAAGATGACAAGGGCAAGAGGCAATCCAAGCGAGCATGCTTCAAATGTGGCGAGTATGGCCATTTTATCGCGGATTGCCCCAAGACCAATGAAGCAAAGCACAAGGTGGTCAAGAAGAAGCCTGATCGTGCTCATGTTGCGGAGGCACACATGGCGGAAGTGTGGTACTCCGGAGATGAAGGCTCTCCCAAGGCTATGGAGAAGGGAGATGGAGATGGTGGCGTGGCTACTGTCGCCATCAAGTCCTCATCAACAAAGGAGCGCCTCTTCAACATCTTGAGTGACGACGACAACGACTCCTACCACCACTCGTGCTTCATGGACCATGGGCGCAAGGTAATGCCTATCCAAAAGCCCTCTCTTGATGATGATAACACTAGTGATGAGGATAGTGACAATGAACTTGATTAGATGTTTAAGAATTTTAGCAAACCGGCCATGAAACAATTGTCAAAATTAATGAAAGCTTTGGATAGTAAAGAGAGATTTCTTGAGAGGCAAGAAGACTTGCTTATTCTAGAAAAGAAAAAAAAACCTTGCCTTAGAAGAAGATCTAGCTAAGGAGGGTGAGAGGATTGAATTACTACAATATGAGATTTCTTTGCTTAATGATTCCATGGCTAGTTTGACGAGTGTGAACGAAACTCTTCAAGAGGAACTTGTGGTTTTGGATAAAAAACCATATAAATCTTGAAGTGGAAATTGACACTCTTCGGAATAGCGCATCCTCTCTAAATGAAACTCCTATGACACCTATGCCTTCTATTAGTGTTGGTTGTGCTAGATGCTATAA